TGAGACGTCGAGGCTCCCACATTCTCTATACAATCGGCTCGCAGCTGGCGATGAGGTCAGCCTTACGCGCCGGCTGCCCTTTACCCCCAGGAAGATGCCTGGTGCTCATTTCTGTTAGAGGCTGAGTCGACCTCAGGGCCATAGTGCGGCTGGAAGGATTATGTGGGCAGAATGCAGTATTAGTTTTAGTGTGGTAAAGCAGGTGGTATATATAGCAACCACTAAGCTTTAAAGGGATCATTCGAGCATGGAAAACGACCTAGACATAAATTCTGCCTCTACCATCGAACCCAACACTCGTGCACATACATACCGAGGGGTGCAATGGCTCCCTTCAGAGTAGGGGGATGCCATACTGAGCTATTCCACCCCACACCCCTCATAATTCTGATAAAAATTCATCCACCCCACAGTGGAAGATATTCAAGGCATCGAATGGCATAGTTATAATTCCGGGAGCAAATGGGAGAGCGCGCGCTGGCCTCACGGGAACAGCGCCCGCTCAGACAGCAAATCCCAATTCGATTACATTCAGTGATCTAATACGTCGTTACCTATGTATCGGAGAAAACTGTTGCTTCCATCTTCAGGATTCAAGACCATCAGCCTACACCCCCCTCAGAATTTAAAATAACGCATTTTACGCATCAAGGCCAGCTTCAAAGTACCAGCTACATCCGATATTATCAGATGAAGCAGACAACCAGTCTCTTCGGTTCAATCGGCTTAGAAAGTATTACAGCGAAGTCCGGGTTCTCCCCCGAACGTCTTGACGCGATAAGTTTCCAGGTCCCCGCTGTAATGACGACAACAGAAACTGAATGTGGCCGTCATAGAGGAACAAGTCATGCCTCTGCTGTAACGACACATTTCCCGCCGACTTAGACTTCCAGAGTTACACATGTCCTGCGAAAGTGTATCGCGTGTTGCAGTCTCTCAGATACTAAGGAGCTTAGTGTTGCACCTGGAGCGACAGCGCAGAAGTAGTCACCTTTGTTTTCAAGCATACATGCTGTGGTACGCCGCGCGAGAGCTCAAGTGGTTAGTCGCTGGCTTCCCACCGTGGCGGCCCGGGTTCGATCCCGGGTCTGGTTAAGTGGGATTTGTGGTGGACAAAATTGGCGCTGGGACAGGTTTTCTCCGAATACTTCGGTTTCCCCTGTCAATCTTCATTCCATCAATTGCTCCACAATCACCCTCACCTATCATCTGGTGCTGGTACAATAGGCCAGAAGTGGCCGCAGTACACTGGACTAGCAATAAAAAACATGGAGTCTACTGTTCTAGGGGCCCTGCTCCTGAATAAATGTTTAGCCTGTAGAAATGAAGTTGAAACCTAGAGAGAGAGCTGTTTTAGTCTGCCACCGTACAGACTGTACCAAGCACAGTTTGCGAAACACAAAGTCTATAAACGTTGTCAAATCAACCCCTTTGTAAGTGTTAGCATTTTAATCACTCTGTAGAACTACCGCATTTCTCAGAGTTTAAGATACTTTCCAGACACTTCTCGGAGAGACTGAGTAGAGCCACGACAGAAAGACATGCGAGTCCATAGCAACCACCAAGATTCGAATCCGGCACATCGCAAATACAAATCTTCAATGTTACCTCTGCAATAACCCGCTCGTCATGCTTAACACCTTGCAACTTCACTAAGCAGCCCCAATTATCACGTACGCCGCCCGGGCTTGGACACCCCTGGCCACAATATGCCTCTAACGCCATCTTCTCGTGCGCCTTTGTGAAGAGATCTTCCTTACAAGATGGCGGGAGGGTGAGCATGGATGTGATTGTTATACCCCCACCCCTTGCGGCTCTTGGGGAGAAAAAAATGGTTGAAGGGTTTGATTTGGATGTCGGCTGTGATTGGGGACGGGGGAGGGGGTGAATGCATAATCGGAGCTTGCAATGTCAGCAAGGTTCAACAAAGCGAGATGGGAGATACTATTGTGGAACTTAATGCAACTGGAATGATTTTCTGTTGCTATCTCTACTGCTAGATACAAATTGAATAAATTTTTACAAAGTATAGGGTGTGGTGGTAACTATTTGTACCACTTGTGCTTACTCTTTAAAGCAAACTAGTTACCACCTACTTCAACAAGTGGAAGCTCTGCATTCTACCCACAGAGTGTATCTGTGTGTTCCGTATGGTTCTCACAGTAAACAGCGACTGTTTCTCTAAACAGCATTAACCGGTTGGGCTTTGTAGCGGAGAAGTGATGTGTTTCCTGTGAGGTACGGACTGAAATGCTATATGTTATTTTGATTAAAGGAGAATAAAGAGGGACGTTACCTGAGATACACACCTCTTTTCGTCATCAAATTGACAAGAGCGAGGACATGTACTCCAGCGTGGGGCACACAGCATTACAATTATATTCAGCTTGCTACCTCATAACCCTTGACGTTAGATTACTCACCATACAAATCTCTTAGCAAAAGCCGAAGGCACAGTGAGCGCGTGGTCTGCACTCAATTCTTGGCCACGAGACCGCCTGATATAGACTCTGATCTTTCCTGGTTTCTCTCAGTTCCTAAAAGGAAATTACACCGCCTTGGCCTCCTTCCAGATCCCTTTCAATTCGCTCACTCTGACCACTGACGTCACTTCATTTAACGAGGCGTTGAACACTGGACGAAGGTACGTAGCGGGAGGCGGTCGTGGCCTGAACTGAGTAATACCTGCGGATGGAGCGTCAACCAGTACAGTGGATCTCAGGGCCAGGAGAAAGAGAGTCGTTGCATAAACACGTACGCGAAGGCGGGCGTATTGCTGCATGACGCGGATTCCATTTCTCACGTTTTGTTTCTCCCGATATTCTACTGGGCCTAACTGACACGTCTCTCGGGCTCACTCAGTTGATACGCGGTCCTATGCTTACAGGCGCAGTAGTAGAGTGCACAACAGTTGTACCAACGTGGAGCCATGTACTGAGGCTACTTCATATACAGGGCAGGCAACCTTACGGAAGCAAAGTCCCTATGTGTTCAGCGAGATCTCCGGTGATTCCCGTCGTACGTTGGAAACAGAATCTGGTGACTCTCTGATGATCATGATGATGTATTGATCTACGTCAGTACCTCATGACGACCTCAACCTCAAAGATATTGTGGCATGTAGATCCGTCGCTAGGGAACAACGGCAAAATAAGCAACAATACAACAACCGCTACTAAGTAAAGGCTCCGCAAACAAGCCTGTTTTCAAGGCAACAATTGCAATATAAGAGACGGTGTTTTCTATGCGGTCCGTGCCGAGATGTTACACAACGGGCAGTTATGAGAGCTGAACTGTTGGTTGGTGAGTTTGTGGGTCAGATAACTGCTGAGGTTCAGCTGTTGTGAGAAGGTGACAGCTGAGGCCGGGGAGAGTTCGGAAACCCTGAAGGTGAACGTCCGCCATGACAGTATTTTAGACGCAGTTTAATAAGGTGGCACTTTCAGCATGGAACGTTTTCAACATTGGTTCAGTTATTGCAAGAGCTTTTTGCATATGGCCGACAGAACCTTCGTTTTGTACACACGCGGCAAGGGTAACAGAACTGTAATGATGAGAACTGCTGACAAACAGAATGTGTACACGCCAATATTTCTGATGTGCTTATATATGTCTACATTAGAGCCCTATATACAGACGGGATATCTGGAACCAAAAGCAGGTGCCTTTCCGGCATTAATTATCTCACGGAACGTCTGACATTGACGTCAACATGTATATCTCTTTAATTCTATTGTAATTCCCGTTGAAAATGCAATGGAGAATCACTTCATTTCGCTCCGTTGCTCCACTTCCCCATTTCTCCCTAATTTCCTTCCCGTCATTTACATTTGTCTGTATTACAGTCATCCATCTCCTCCATCTCCTACACGTTGAATCAACGTGGCGTTACAGGTGAACATCTGAATACCAGCTGCGCTGAAACATCCGCGACATCTCTTGGCGCAAGCAAACACAGGCTAGTGTGGGAACTACAAAGATGTGCGTCGCTTGCCTTTGGTTTGTATACATGCGGCCAGGGTTACAGCGAAGTCAGACAGAGCCCTCTGTGTTGGTGACAGCGGTCTGTGGCCTATGAATTAGGGGCACACGTATTGTTTGTGTTCCGGTTCATTTGACGTGTCATTGGCAAATAGTCTGCTTCTCTTTGTACAGACTTCTGTGAACACAATTCGCAACTAATTCTGTTTGACATCTGTGCTACTGCAGCCGACTGTACAGTCCGTCTATTAATGAAACTACTCAGTCGAATTGGGTGTGACGACCGACGGTCAGTCGGCCAGTCTGTCTTGGAATAAAGCATCCGGCTGGGCTTACGGCCAGATTTTTATTACTGTCAGAGAGTTGGGGGGTTTGCTGCTGTGGAGCGCTCTCTCTGACGAGAGGACGGGTCTGTCGTTTACAATTGATGCTGGCCCTTGCCAGCGCAGTCATTCTTGGGTCCGAGTTCCGCGGGACTAGCGACCATATTTTACTGTCTCAAATTCGAGACCCACACTTTTTGCCGCCGCTTATGACTCGCAGGGCTACGTTGCAAGTATTCAAACCCGCATCCACACGGAATTGAAACCATCTACGAGTATTTACTAAACTGATTACAGAAAAACCATTAGGAACGGGTTAATTCTGTTTAGGAAAACAATCCGTGAAGATTACTATCACCCGGAATATGGCGCTGTTTAGGCTGCTAAACAGGTACCAATGTTTCGAATGAATCTGCTACCTCCATCTTCATATTTATAGCAAATATTAGACAGACGACAGCAGTAATTATAGTTACAGCTGTGAGAAGCTCTAGATCTCACGAAACAATCACTGTTTGTTTCAGAATCACAAGCAATACATGAGTATTTACTGTGAGCAGAACATACGGTTTCTTTTATGTTAAAGCTTGTGGTACTTACAGTTACCATTAGATGTGAAGGGGTAACGCTGATTTCTAAATGTTATTTCCGTTCCTCTATTTTTAACAGCATTCGTTTACAGATATTTTGACTCACCCTATAGCTGATGTCTGAATGCACTTTCCACGTCGCTCTGAAACAAACAGAACAGAAGAAATGACTACATCAGTTGCCATAGCAACAAGACAGTTTATAGGACATCGGTGCGAGTTTACTGAGATCCTAAGCCTTTCATCTGTCTTGACTGTCAGGACGCCCTCTGCATCACACACGTCTGTCCGTCCGTTTCAGCATCACAGTTATACCAACATTACACCACTAAAGGACATGTTATAGTTATACTCTTAAATTTGATTCCATTAGTAACAATAGAATGACGCCGTGCGAAATTCTGAGGTGGAAGTAGCATTTAATGTAGGGTCCTACAATTCAGTATTGTAATACACGTTACAGCCGGTCACGGTAGCCGAGCGGTCTAAGGCATGTACTGTCTTCGCTCGATTGGAAACCGGGATCGTGGGTTCGAATCCCACTCAGGGCATGGATGTTTAGTTTGTGTGTGTGCGTTTTTCTGTGTCTGTGTACAGGTAGAGGCCTTGCTACGAAATGATCACCCGCCCAAGGAGTCCTACCGAATGTGTAAGATCTAGAAAAACCGAAGTGAACGGAGAAGTTCATGGACGTAGGCCTAGGCCCACTGGGGCTGTAGTGC